AAATCGGTTTCCTAATGATCACTTTTGAATATATTTAGGCTGTTTTTTTGGTTTACAAGCACAGTTCTGGATGAAGTGATTTGTTTCTCGTTGATGTGTGACCCAGAGGTTGCCTGAATCACTTGCCTGGCACTATGGCTGATATTCAGGAAATGTTTTGTTAAACATTTCCAGTCACAGGGCTGACGTCAGGAGACAATATTAATCAATATGCTGACCCCATAGTTTGTGGCCGTGATAAGCATAGTGGGTTTGCATTCTCTTGGGAACTTAAGGAAATAAATGGTTTATTCTATCTGCTGCTTTCCTCTTCCAACAACTTATTTTTTCCCTGTTTTTAACATTTGTTCCTGTGAGCATAGAGACGTGGAATGTGAATGCGACTTGGCTTCCTCACCAAAGTAATGACACAATCATAATTTAAAAGCTCAAACTTCCTCCTTATCTCTCAGACAGACTGTATATAGCAAGTTCTCTCCATAGCCAGCGAAGTGCTATAACCAAGTTCTTAAGTTTGTCTAAAGAACTACTGCAAACAGATGGTTATGTTTTGTCAGAAGAGAGAATCTCCAGAATTAAATTGAGTTTGTAGCACAAATGAAAACTTACCAAAAACAATTTAGAGAGAGCTATGGAATTGGCAATGTGTGCAGCCATTATAAAAATACAAAACACATTCATGCATATTAGCACACTATTTATTCTTCTCCATACTTATTTAATCTTTTTCTTTTTCTGAATGTTTTATCTTGTTTTATGTTGTTATCTAGTCCTGCAGTGTTACTAGCACATACACACAAAATACATCAAAATGTTTGTGCCAGTCACAGACATGTAAATGTGGAAGCAAACTGACTTACACCTTTGTCTTTATGAGCTTCCAAGCAGCAGGAGCCCCAACCAACAGCTGCATTAACTTCCACATTAAGTGGGAGAAGGAATTTCAGGAGTGAAGAAGAAGCAGTGGCTGCTTCTTCTTCCAACAGCTAGTGTGGTCACATTTTTGACTTTACACACACAAATCTCACCAGATGTGGTCAGCAGGTTCTCGTCTTGCTGAAAATATCACCATTGTGGTGATGGGAGTTACGGTGTGGGCACTAGAAGGATAATCATGAGAGGTGTGCCTCAGCAAAAATCTCTATTAAATGAAGCCTCTGTACCAGGAAACACACTGCAGGTACCATTCATTGGAGTTGGGAGCACACAGCTTATTAAGATGACCTAATTAACAGAGTTTGACTTCAAACTAAATTCAAAACTTCTAATATTCAAGATAGAGAGACTGTAGAGAGAGATAGAGTAAGTGTATTTTAACAACTATACTCTGTATAGTTCAATTGACGTTTTATTACCACGGTGAGAGGACAAGATATTCTGTTTTGACAATGAGAACAGACACAGCAGGAACTTTACATCTAGTGAAGCTGCTGGATTGTCTCCTGTCAGGGGATTGTGTAGAATTTATACAGTTTATACTCTATTTCTTATATTCTGTAGCCATAAACAATGAAATCACCCAAACACATATTACAACAAGAATAGAAAAGCAGAGAAAATATTTGTGTTTGATAATGGATTTGATGAAAATACATATGTAATTGTGCAGCGTCTCCACTGCCTGTGTAAACTTAATCCCTTTGCAGTATATGGGCAGGTACTGACTTTTTGGTTTTATTGCAGAGTGTTAGTTCAGTTGGTGTATAATTGGATAAATGCATTTTGCACTTTTTGACTTAATGTGCATTTGTACTGTTGGACACTGTTGGCCAGTTTGATTGGCCACAGCACCTAAAACCTGTGTCTTTGAACTTTTTCTGTCTTTTTGTAAGTGTATTTTAACAGGAAGCGCAGGATGACCCTTGTTTTTCAAAATAATGAACCCAATGGCTTGTTAACAGGAGGCAAGGGATGTACCTATTTTTTCAAAATAAAAGTAGAAAGTAGATGTATCTTAACTGGAAACTGAGGATAAGGCTGTAATAATATAATAATTATAAAAATATAATAACTACCTTAACAGGACACTACAGATATACTTAGTTTTTCAAAATAAATTCCCAAACAGTAGCTGTATCTTCTCTCTTTTCAGATATGCACCAAGCATTCAGGCACACAAATTTCTTCTTCTTTTTATTATTATTATTACTGTTGTTATTATTATTATTATTAATATTAATAGTAGTTGAAGTAGTTATTATTACTAAAAATACATTATTATTAGTAGTAGTAGTAGTAGAAGTAGTTATTATTACTAATAATACATTTTTCTTATTATTATTATTATTAGTAGTATATATAATAGTTTATATAGTATATAATACACTGATAATATTGTTTAGAGATGATGAATATTAATGTTGAGCTTTCTGGAGGTGTCAATTGTTTGAATGGTTTGAGGGAAGAACAGACATCTGGCTTCCAATAACACACATGTTTGGAGAATTTGCATAATTGTCACTGTTCTGTAGAAACCATATAGATCCAGAATGTCAACAAAACAATCATGTTTTTAGCTTTGTAGCTCTCCTGTTTCAATTGAGCCAATAGGTTTTTTTTATGGTTTATATGTCTGTTTACGGGAAGTACTGCATATGTGATAAAAGTTGCATAAAGCCTTTTCAGTCTCAGAGAGAGCTGATTGAATATATTATCTTATAAATTGCCTCAAGTGATGTACCATTACTAAAGTTAGAAAATTAAAACTCTGGCAGTGGAGAACTTACCAGACCTCTGTAGCCCGCTCCTCATGAGGTTAGCTGCTCACGGCTACATTAGCTGCTACTACCATAACATACCCAAATCTTCAATATCTCTGGTTCTGCTGTGTTAGTTTTGATCCTTGTTCATAAACTGCCCCTCATTAGCCCAACACTGTTATAGGAATGCAATGCTAAATCGGTGAAGTACTCTTTTAAGAATAATAAAAAATGTTCATTCTCTAATTTATTTGAAAAACCGTTGAAAAAGGTTTATTTTGACAGCTGAACTCAACCATTTACTGAGAAATTTCCTGTGGGAACAAACAATCACTTAATGAAGTATTTCCTCTGCTGGGTAATGACTAATTATTGGCAGAATTCAGAATGCTTCAGAATTACTTGTACTCTTTTCTAATCAGTCTTTAATTTCCACCTTACACAAAAGTCAATAATTTGCTCTCTGCTGAGTCAGACTCTGTAAGGAACTCTCTGTGCTTAATTTCCAGGGTCTTTTGTTTGGCCCCTGACCCTTTCTCCTTTTTGGAGCACTTTTCTTTCCTTGAATGAGACTTTCACTATACTTACTTTCTTGTCTGTCAGCAATGTTTGAGTCCATGTCAGCATCCCCTGTCAAAAAAGACTGCTGATTTCACTGGGGTTAAAAAGTCTTAATAGTTTTCAATCAATTATTATACTCTGTATAGTTCAAATGACGTTTGTTTGGGCATCAGTGGCCAAATGATCCCTTTTAATTGAAGACAGACATGGATGTAAATTCAGCCTGACAAATTAAAAATAAATAAATAAAAATACAAAGGCACTGTAATAATAACACTTGGCATATAATTATTGTTTTATATGCTTTATTGTGAAATTTGATTTTTTGGGGGAAAAAACTATTTATCTTTTGTTTAGTTTATAGAACACAGTACAAACAAGATGACTTCAGCTGTCACAGACACAGCCTCCAGGACACAATGGGAAGTTGTTTCTACGATGCAGACACAAGCATCAGGATGATACAACCACAAGCAGAAATGAAATGAAATAAAGGAGTTGTTTTGTTTTGTTTTTTTACAGAAAATAATATATGATGCAAAGATACAGAAATATGTAGGGCTCAATAAAATAGTGACTTTTGGATGAATTTCACATGATCCACAAACACACACTTTAAAGTAGGCATGCGTATTGTGGCAACAGTTTATCAGTGCGCAGTTATTTCCGTTTCAATGTCTAGCCAGTGTCCTCACTAAAACAAAAGAACAGACTAATTTTTGAAGAATGCGACAAATGCGACAAATGTGCACTGTCTCCGAGGTGGGTTTGAGTTTGGAGCTGATACTTCGCAGACTGGAGCTCGTCCGCCTTCACTGGCTTCGCCCACTTGGCACCGGCGGAGCGCAGACGGAACAAGTTGCACACGTCGCTGCCTCGACAGGAATACTGAGGAGAGCAGTTTCGGGAACTTTAATGGCATTTACTGCCGGACAGACAAGCTGTCGATTTGTTTTATTGACTATCATAAAAGACGTAAAAGAGAGTGAAGAGGTTGTTGACTTATGGCGAACTGTGTGAGAAAAGACCAAACCTGAGGTAAGGAGCTGTGTCAGATTTTAACCAGTCGGGTCCTTTAATGAAAATTACTGGCTTATGTGAATATGGGACATTTTACATATTAAGCTATTGACATTTTTTATTTGATGAAAGAAAACTATTGCTGGTATATTGACCCCTACATCGCTAAATTGTATTATAAATCTGAGCGTCTGTTTTACATCAGTAAAACAGGTTCAGGTTGAAGCACAGGAGAGATTAACTCGAGTACTGTACTTAACTACAAAGTCTATGTACGGCATTTTATGCAGCTGTATACTTCTACTTTATTACATCTCAGAGGCAAAAAAAAAGTTGTAATTTGTATTTCACTACATTTGTCTTACAGTTACTTTTCAGATTACAATCCAATTAAAATTAGCTAAACCTTAAACATCTTAAAATGTAAAACTCAACACTATAATCCAAAAACATCATGTAATACTAAAACTCTGACAGGGAACATTTCTCTGTGAAGTAAGTACTTTTACGTTTTGATACTTTAGCTTACATTTTCTTAATTAAGTATTTTCCCAGAGTGGTATTAGTATTTTCACTTAAAGGATCTGAATACTTCTTCTACCACTGCACCAGACTACATTCATAAAAGCCTGCTTATAGCCTCTGAAGTTATATTTCAAATATGTTGGTACAAATGAATCATGCATCCCATCTACCATCTCTTCTCTCCTGCAGATTTCATTCCACCATGTCAGCCAATGGGAGCTTAGAGACAGGTTGCAGGTCAGAGATCAGACCAAGCAACAACACCTGCAGCCAAAAAGAATTGTCTGTCACCGCCTCCGCCATCTCCATGACTGTGGGCATCTTCTCCAACAGCCTTGCCCTGTTCATCCTCATCAAATCCTACAACCGCATCCGGATCAAGTCGAAGGCGTCCTTCCTGCTGTTTGCCAGCAGCCTGGTGATCACAGACCTGTTGGGTCACCTCATCAACGGCTCCCTGGTGCTTTTTGTCTACAGCTTCCACATGAAATGGGAGACGTTTGACCCTCACCGCATCGTGTGCAGCGTCTTCGGGGCGTGCATGGTGTTCTTTGGCCTTAGCCCCTTGTTGCTGGGGAGTGCCATGGCGGTGGAGCGCTGCATTGGAGTCACCAGGCCTATCTTTCACTCCACAGCATTAGCTTCCCACCACATGAAAAGGCTGCTGGGACTCACATGGCTGCTAGCTGCCCTGGTGGCTGTGCTGCCTGTGCTGCTGTGGAGACCCTACAAAGTTCAGAGCTCCAGGAGCTGGTGCTTCTTCCATATGGAGGAACCCAAAGACTGGCTGGATGTGCTGCTGCCTCTGGTTTTCTCTATGCTAGGGCTGCTGGCCCTACTGCTCTCCATTGTGTGTAATACGCTGACAAGCTGTGCTCTGCTACAGGCCAGACTGCGACGCAAGCATCACTGTAGAGGCACGTCCTATCACATAGAGATGATCTGCCAGCTGCTGGCTATCATGTTGGTATCCTGTGTGTGCTGGGGCCCATTACTGGTAAGAATTTACCTACATTTACCTATTACATTCTCTAATCCAGGCTTATACTGATCTCAATTTGTTAGTAATCATCCATTATCTTTACATTTACATTCCCACATGCCATCATTTTTCTGATCTTTAAACCACATCTCCAATTTGCCAGTGTGTCTGTCATGGATTTTGAGCATTGCTGAGCACAAAGTGACATTAAATGGGTTTGGAAATGAGACAGAAACATGGCAGGTTTTATTATCCATGATATGTGAGGATTGTTTTTCGCACTGCTGCTTTTCATTTTCAATCCGTGCATCCCACTTATTCCTTGCATGCTGAGGATTTCATCGATTCATTTATGACACCAAGTCTCAAATACTTCAATAGTTATACTGTGTGACCTTTCCTCTAAACTCCTAAAAAAACTGCAGTATGTCCAGAGCACACCCACACACACACACACTTCTGTCTTTTCAAAATCTCCACTTGCTCCTGGTTGAACAAGACGTGCATTTCAAGCTCCCACTCCCCGCTCTACAAATGTGCTCTCTATAAAACGTTTTAAAAAACAGTTTTTCCTCAGGGGTGTTTGCTGACCAATTTGCACTAAACATGGCACAGCACATATAGAGGGGTTGTTTTTCAAGAAATCTGAATAAACAGCTGCTGTGAGTACAGTTACCAATGACAAAAAACCTTGGTGTATTTGCTGGAAGAACACGATTGAGTAAGATTGAAGTGGAATTTTAATACAAGTAAACACTATTTTTATCATTGTTGTACTGTAACAGCACATCATAGCAAAAAATCTAATTGTAGTTGTGATCAGTAACTATTTGTTTATGATTTCACAATCATCATGAAATGTTTGTGTATTGAATCATTATATATTTGTGGAGAATAATAAATGATGATGAGAAGACGCCTAGTGATAGACAACATCAGTCTTCAAAGTTGGAAAACTTAATTACTGCTTTACAGACTCTTTGGTGTCAACGCTGAATATAAATTATTACTCCAGTAAAACATTTGCATATCTTCCCAAAACATTGCGTGCAATGCAGAGGAATGCTTTTAATCATTCAATGAAAATATTAAATATTTCTTAAATAAAGACATGAGTTATATTGAATATACAGTTTATAATTTATTAAAGGATTTGCATACAAACTGCAATCACATACTGCCTCAAACCCATTTTAATTAAATTTAATTATTGTTCCTTTCCATTATTTTATGACGACTCCACCAGATCCATGTCATCATGCTGAGCACTAGAGCCAAACACGAGCCTACGTCTTTCAGTCTCCTGATGGTGGTACGTATGGCCACATGGAACCAGATCCTGGACCCCTGGGTCTACATCCTGCTACGGAAGGCTGTCCTGAGGAAAATCTTCATGTTGTTACATAGCTGCTGGGGCCCAAAGTCTCATCACCTACACCGCTGGCAGCGCAGTGTGCTCCGCAGCTCCATGGAGACCAGCAACTCAGGTGCTGGCCCGTCTGACTGCCGCTGCCTCAGTAGATTTCCTCTGTCAGACACTGCGATCAAATCCATCACCTGAACCCTGGTCACAGTGTTACGATCTGAGAACACCAGTGAGAAAACTTAAAAAAGACTATCAAATGTATTGTGCTCATCACAAGAAGCTTGTACAAACAATATAAAAGCTGGTAAAAGCATGTTCTCTTTGGAGTTGTAAAATGATCACCATGAACTGCCAGTATTGTGGTCTATTGTGGGATTAACCTTTTCAGCTCTGTTTAATAATTAGCAGCTCTGAGCAAAATATGTCTGAAATGGTCACAGTGCTCAGGAAATATGCAGCCACAGTTTGGTTGGTTCCGTCATTCCTCTATTGCGCTTTTTTGGAAAAGTTTCCTTCTTTGTGTTTAATGCTGCTGAAATTTCCCCATGGCAGCTCCAGCCTGCGCTTATTGTGTTATTTCTGTTACTGGCAGTAGCCCTAAAACAAGTTCTATACTGTGTTTTTGACCTCACATGTGAATGGTGATAGGGATTCTTTATTATGATCTAATCAATCAGCTGATGCAGGCTACATGTGAGATCTCAACATTTTGGATAGTTAATGCAGTTTATATAGGTTGAGCAGAACAGAATGAAGTAGTTAATTGTAAATGTGATGTTCTGCACAAGTGCTTTTGTAGCATCTCTCTCTTGTGAAATCTTTTCATTTTCTCTGGGCTGAACTGTATTACACCTTTGTGTAATAAAGGTGAAAATGGAAAAACAAATCCAAATATTACAGATTGAATTGTATTAAAAATGTTAGAATGGGTGACAGTCGGGGAGATGTGTATTAGAGGGCAGTTATTCTAGGTGGAGGTTGTCTGTCTGTCTCTTTCTCTATGGAGTCTTAAGCGTGGCACCAGTATAATTATAGATATATTCAGTGTTTAATTATAATTAATTATAATGATTAAATTCCAATCAATTATATGCATTATTGTTAATTCATTGTGATACATTTTTAAATGATTTTATGTGTTGATTCATTAAATTTGGATTTGGTTATGTGTTGCTAATCGCAGCTCCTGCTGCTTCTCGGGGGGTTTAATTGCATTTAACTTTTAGGTGGCGCACTGCTCACACATCTGTGAGAGCCACCCTTCAATTACGGAAGAGTAATCACACAGTAAAGCAGAGAATATAATAGACACATGACTGGAAAAATAAAAGGTCAACTTATAAAATATTAAAGCTGGTTTTGAACATGGAACGCACTCCACAGGTGAGCTATTGGTACGTCTACTTGGTCAATTTAAATATGTTTTTACAGCAATTACAAAAGCTTTTTCTTTAGAAATGTCAGTTTATTTATTATAATTATCATTATTTCAGAGGCAGGCTTCTGGCTCCCTATGCAATAGTGCTTTGTTTATAGAGGAATATAATGATGCAAGAGGAGTGGTTTGGGAAGTTTCTTCCCCCATAATATCTTTATTGTGTACAAAAGCAAACCATTAGTTTTAAAGTCCTGTAGGTGGCAGCACGACGCCCAGATCCCTCCAGCTGGTCGGAAACGAAGAAGAAGAAAAATCCGTATGGTATGTGACGTAACCTCTTCCTCATAACCTCCATCTTTCAGTACCGCATGTCTCTGTGGACATTTGAGCAGGTTTGGGAACATAAATGTAGATATATATATATATATGTGTGTGTGTGTGTATATAATGTGCGGTGTTTGAGCAGCGTGCGGTCGTTGGTGTGTGTGGTCTGAGCGGAGCAGTGACACAGCTGTGTGTGTTTGGGGCCTGTGTTGTGTTTTCATCTCTGCAGCTGCTACCCAGACATACACACACACACAC